TACTATAATCCATTATCTGTTAACTGTTATTTATAATCTGTTAACTAACACCCTCATCCTGTTAACTATTAATCATTATCTGTTAACTGTTATCTCTAAACTGTTAACTATAATCCATTATTTGTTAATTGTTACTTGTAAACTGTTAACTATAATCTATTATCTATTAACTGTTATTTGTAATCTATTAATTGCTATCATTTAACGTGTATATGACTTGAAATTCTTATCTATATATATGAACTATAACCAGGGTGTGATATACAAATGTTGTATAAATTTACTATCGCATTAATATGTTAACTGTGTTTCTTTAATTAAAGTAAAATGCAAAATGAATTAAATGTTAAGTTTTGTGATATTAATAGTTAATTATTTATATTTCACATCTACAATACAAAACTTAACATTTAAAAGAATAAAAATAACAGTTACTCAATTATACTTAAATAGAATAACTAAACATTAACAGTTAATCGGCTATAGTTCACATGTAGTCGGTAAAACTTGACAGTTAATTAACAAAACTTAACATTTAAAATAAAAAGTTAACACAAACCCCACTATACTTAACATAGAATAGGTAAACGTTAATAATTAATTTAAAATAATGGATATATAAATATTCAGTAGACTAATTATTAAGTTTTACCTAATACAAGTGAACTATAGCAAATTAACTATTAACATTTACCTGTTCCATGTTAAGTATAGTGGACTAAGTGTTAACTTTTTCATTTTAAATGTTAAGTTTTATTAATTAAATGTTAAGTTTTACCTATTACATGTGAACTATACCCGATTAACTGTTAATGTTTAGTTATTCCATATAAGTATAATTGAGTAACTGCTATTGTTATTCTTTTGAATGTTAAGTTTTGTAGATTAACTGTTATGTTTTACCTAATATATATAAACTATAGTTGACTGACTGTTAACATTTACCTAGTCCTTCTTAAATATAATTGAGTAATTGTTAACTTTTGAATAAGATTATATAATATAAAATATCAAGTAAGCCTGAAGATGTTGCCGTTGTAGTCGGTCTCGACCATTATACTTTATATGGAATAACTAAAGGTTAATAGTTAATCAGCTATATTTCACATGTACAACACATAACTTGCTCTTTTGAAAATTTCCACATCATATATAGACTACGTAAATCAAATGAATTTTTATATGAACAAGATTTAAATTTTATTTTCGCTCAGACATGTGGTGGACCTTTTCACATCTTCATAACTAATAACATTCCAGTTTTAAACAAAAAACCAAGATTTCAACAATATTATCACATTCAAAACTCATAATTATCTCAACTACATTCATGAATTACTGCTTCAAATCCCACATCCCCTCCCTCCTCCACTATTATATATACCCTCTGCACAACACAAACCCCCAAACAACAAAACAAAACACACCTTCAAACAAAATTAATCGAAGAAATAGACTGGAGATTCAAAGGAAGAAAAGGAAAAAAAATAATGGTCAAGCTACAATCCCAAATCTTCTTACTATCATCATCATCATTATCTCCATCACTATCGACCTCATGCCGGCGACACGTGAGATTCCAAGCAAGCCTCCAAGGTCCAGTCAGTCCGAGCAGAAACAAGCCCACGATCTCCCTCTCCAGGCAATTCCCAACTGCCATGATCAACATAGAGAAGCTCTCCCTCAGCGATCAAGACAATATTATGATCAACAAATTAAAACCCCAACAAACGGCACACAGATCATCTAACAGTACCGACGAGTCTCCAATGTTCAAACTGTACGCAATCGCCAAGACAACATCAAAAAGGGCGGAGATGCACTCCATCATCGGCGAGCAAATGAATGACTGGAACAAGCTCCTCCTCTCCTCCATTAACCGTCGACCCCCTCGACATCTCGTCGGCCATCCTATTCTTCGCAGCCACGGGCATGATGGTGCTCGTCAACAAGCATGCACCTCAACGAAAAGCACACATCAAACTCCCCAATTGCCCGCAAACCTTCATTAACACAATGAAAGCTACGGAGTCGAGTTCGATGTTTAGTTGGAGCATTTTGTCGAATAGCTTGAGGGCGGAGTGGGATTGGATTGGGAAAGAAGGAGCGTCCACGGGAGGGGGGTACGGGGGTCGCGGGATTGGGAGAGGAGGGTGGGGCTCTTAATGGGGCCGTAGGATAGGGCGAGGGAGGAGAGGAGAGGTAGGGGTTTGAGAGGAGGTTGAGCTTGAGAGCGAGTGAGTGGATTTGTGAGTTTGAAGGGGGTTGGAGGGGAGGAGGGAGCTCCATTTGAAGGTTTTGTTTGGGGTTTTAATGGGGGTTTGCTGGGGCTTTGGGTTTTTGGATTTTTGTCATTTAGGGGCTTGAGGGGGGGCTAGGATTAGAGGGAAGAGGATTAAAAAAGATGTGGGGAGGGGTAAAGCTAGGATTATGGATTAAAAAACATATAATATTGGGCTAATTATGAGCTGGAGGGGCTAGGACACAATTTTTTTAAAAATTAGGGGCTGCAGCACGTTACAAATAGTATGAAGGGCTGGGGCACATTGCTTTTTGGGTTTTGGGGCCTTAAAGTAATTTTTCCATGTATTTTATATATCAAACTATTTTTTTTTCTTAATTACTAATATTTACAGTATTTAGTTAATTAGTATATGATTAAATAATTTTAATTAATACTATTATTAAAAAACTATTAATTTTCTTATTTCAACATAATAAAACTATTTCATTAAAATAATTAATTAAACAAAATTATGCAATCTGATCCTGGAGAATAAAAGGAATTAGTATGAGGGTATAAGTGTCTTTTGGCCAAAATAAGCAAAGTTTCTTATAAGCGGACAAAAGATAAGTTGAGAAATCCTAACTTATTTTTTTGCCTTCTTATAAGTAATAAATAAGTGGAATAAGTCACTTTTTACCAAACACCACATTAGCTACTTGTAAGTGAAAAAGCTACTTAAATGAGTAGGTTGCCAAACATCCTCTTAAGACTCTTTCTATAACCCAACACCAAGACTAAGTTACAACTCAACGGCGCTCCAGGCCAAGTGGCACTCTTATTTCGACTAATGAAGTAGAAGATGGTGACTTCAAATCTTGGGGAATAACAGCAAAGTTGAACCTGCCAAAGTCAACTATGCTATAAGTCCCTCTCATGTGCACTGTAGATGTATTATTCAAGCTTCCCTCTTTCGCTTGTTTAATTTAAAATTTGAGATGAGCTCTGGAGGGTACTCGTTTACCCTAAGACTTTTCATGTGGGAAAACCTAAAGCTTCTGCAAATTCTAATTCTATATCGACATCACAAGGTCCTAACGCTAACCAACAATTATGAACCGATAACTACAAAAAAGTTTCATGATCAAGAAACTCATGCTCTCTTACAAACCATTCCATCTAGAAGAGTTTTCTCTATTCTCATATTGTAGGAGATTCTTTATCCTCAGTTTTCAGAATGCCTCCCATCTCACTTTGAGATGGTAACTCTACACCTTTCCATAAAAAAAAGGAGGAAGACTGGGCAACTAATTTTTGTTCTTGAACTGTATTTACGAAAGACTATAACCAAAATGCTCCTATAGTAGTATATTGGACAAATTTTGAAAATCAACCTTTTTGGTAATTTAAATAGCAAAACCGACCTTATATGATTTTATTCAGCAAAACCGACCCTTTTCAGAAGAAAAGGGTCGGTTTTGCTGCGGTGTAAATTTTACGAAATGCACGGGACTGCTAGTCCCGTGCATTTCAAAGCTGGGTTAAAATGCACGGGACTAGCAGTCCCGTGCATTTCATTTGAAATTGCAACAGCGAATAGCATTTCATTGCAGACGAAGAAACCCATCTAGCTCTTTCCCCTTATCGTTTTCTCACCTTCTCTCTCTTGGCCCAACCTACGCCCCTTGCTGAATTTTTACCCTCTTCAAGTTTTTGGATCAGAGAATTATAAGGTAACAAACGAATCTTTGCTTCTTGTACTTTGGGCAGAAAACCAAGAGGCTAGAAGAGTCTAATTTTGCCTGTAATATAAATTTGAAAGAAATCATGGTATGGGCCTTTTTTCCCGTGAGTTCATTTGATGCATATATTTTGGTTTTTTTATTTATTTATGCGTTTATGTGGGTCGGTGGACTTTTTGGTTCTTTCAGTTGTCTGGTGAATGTAGAAGTCTTAGTGGTAGTAAATTCTGTTTTTTGCTTGATTTTAACTGATTCTAGTGATTAACTTAGTATTTTCATGATGGAGAGAGAGGTATCTGAATGATTTTAGTCAAGCAGGTTTCAATAGATCACCTTCCGTTTTCATTTTTTGTTGTTAATATGGTGAATAATTGATTTTAGCTATTTGCTTTGCTTTTATATGCATCCTAAGTTATGTTGAAAAGAAACATTTAAAATGTTAGTCATTTGATAAAAGATTATGATTTGATGTGCAGAATTAAACAACTAATTCTAAAACTTTGCAAGCGTTTGTGTCTCCCATTCGCTGTTGCAATTTCAAATGAAATGCACGGGACTGCTAGTCCCGTGCATTTCAACCCAGCTTTGAAATGCACGGGACTAGTAGTCCCGTACATTTCGTAAAAATTACACCGCAGCAAAACCGACCCTTTTCTTCTGAAAAGGGTCGGTTTTGCTGAATAAAACCATATGAGGTCGGTTTTGCTATTTAAATTGCCAAAAAGGTTGATTTTCAAAATTTGTCCTAGTATATTGGTTATGCTTCAAATTTGTGATCCCATCACAAAAACAGAAACTTGAACCTAAACAAACTAATTGTACAAGACAGAGATAGTTATACTTCTCCCTATTATAACCACATGATATCTAAGACAGAACTTGAGAGAAGGCACCGTAAGCCTTGTGTTCTGCCCAATGAACTATGAACAAAAACAAACAGTGACTCACACAATGAAATCAATAAGCCTACTGGTCATCATACAGGATGCAAATCTTCATCTGACCTCTATTTACACCAAAATTAGACGGGATAATCATACAGGATGCAAATCTTCATCTGGAGTGAGAGGCGAGCCTGCAACTATTTCAGAACGGCAAAAAGGACAATTAGAGTGAGAGGAGAGCCACTCATCGATGCACTGAACATGAAAAAGATGGCAACAATTTGGCAAGATACGAATCTTCATCCCTTCTTCAATCCCTGACAAGCAAACTGAGCACTCGTTGGAACCTGATGGAAGGAACTTGAAATTCTTGTTGTAAGTTTGAACAGGTAACAAAGCAAGAATCCTCTGATCAACTCCAGCGCGTGCTTGAGGATTTGTCCCGCATAGTTTCTTCAGGATGAAATGGAGTGCTGCAAGCGCTAAAACTACGCAAACGAGGATAGCTAGAGCTATTACGAGAGCAGGAACATAAAGGCTAGGTTCTGGAGATGGAGACTCAGCTGAAGCCATTAGATGTGCTCATTGAAGATTGAATTTGATAGGGTTTATCTAAGCCCTCATCTCCTTCATGAGTCGGTCAGGATCTGTAAGACTTTTCCAAAATGTCTGAAGTTTCCTTGGTCATGGCAAATAGGAATAGTTATTCTCTGAAGCAACCTCAAAAGACCTTGTCATATTCCTAAGGTCAACTATGTCACTATAATAGAAAAAAATTGGAGGTAGCAAAATATAATGCTAAGGACAAGCACACAAGAAAAGCTACTTGCAAAAAAAATGAAAAGAATATGCATGTGATGTCATGTAAAGGGTCAAGACATTCAAGTGGGTGCCTAAAGAACTTGTTTATGAAATAGATGATATAGGAGTACATACACTATCGTGGACATGTGTAACCTTCTATCTGGTGAGTAAAATGTCATTGACAGGTATTATGTCTTCGTCTTTATGTCTTTGTCTCTAATGACAAGTTAGAGAGGTTTAGTTATTTGTTGGGGTGCTAACCATGAAGATAAGCTTTAAGTATTTTGGAGAATGTCATGGGGCTAAGACAGGCTTGATGTTTATATTTTTTATTTAGCAGTCAATGATATGAATAGTTAGCAAATATGTGAGACGTAAACACAGATCTTAACAAATACACCGAGATTAAAGAATGCTACTTTCTGTGAGTCACAACGCACAATATTGTTGAGCAACTGTTTCTAAGTCTGCGCCTAAGTTTCCTAGCATAATTTATAGGCACGTCTCTGAGTTGCATAAGATTGATCTATTTTTTCTATAGAAGGATCCAAAAATCCAATGAAAACCTATGTATTTCATGAACGTAACCCTCCATTCATGGAGAACCGACTAAGTTCTATGCTCTGGTTGTTGGCTCTTTAATGTTATCTTCCTCATCCTAGCTCGAATGATGAGAGAGACAGTGAAAGAAAGCACCAGAGGAGTTATTTCATGAACCTAATATGTAAAGAAATAGGTAGGACTCCAGGGAGATTTCATTGTAAAATTACCAATGAGTACGAGGGCTAATTACAAATTTTCAATAAGAATTCCTCTAGTGAGTGGTTTGAGCATACGTACATGCTAGGGCCGGCAGGTCACAAACTACAAATGGTTTTAACTCCCATAAATCACTATAGTTCCATTACCTGTTTTCTGAACGCCTTAATTAGAAGTAGTTTCCTTGTTGCTCAGGTTTCGAACCAGTGCATTTGACATAGAAACTATCCTGTAAACCTACCTGATGCTTCATGACTTGGTGATCAGTCTTGAATCCCATTCAAATCCCCTCCTCATATCAGATAGAAATTTAGTTGGATATAATTCTTATAAGGCATAGAGTGAACCAGATCAAATCAGATACAAATAGAATCCAGGTGAGCAACATAAAAGCAAAGTGTAGATCTCATTTTGTGGAAAGAGCTGATGTTTAAACTTTGCAGTAAACTAGGAGAGAGTTGAGCACAACCAAGTTGGAGAAGATATTGAAAAGGAGCTCACCTGGGGAAGCAAGCTTTTGGACTGTAGAGTAATACTTGAAGAGCATCAAGAAACAATTTTGTATCATAACTATGGCATAAATATACATGTTTATGCTATTAACTCATTCACTAAGGCTTATACTTCGCTCTCATTCACTAGGAATACAGAAGCCACAGCACTTACTAGTAAATAAAGAAGTTGTTGGTATATATATCACCTAGCCTTTGTCCTAAGAATTTTGCCTCTAGAAGCTTTCTTCTCCATCTTTTCCCTCTTCTTCCTACTTTTATCATCCTCGACACCACCCTGCATGTTAGAAGAAAGATTGTCATTTATCTTACACAACAGGAAACAAATAGTTTCTCGAAGTACAATAGACAGTTGGGTTTACTCTATACCTCCGAACCATGTGGAAGGAACCCTTTCAATAGACCGGACACCTTGTACGCAGCAAATACTGGTATCTGAGAAGGAGAAAATACATTTTAACACAGACTCTAAGATGAGATAGGCATTCAAGCTTTCAGACGATGCATTTAGACCATGTATTCTTCCTACAAGTTGTGAGACGGAAAAGAAAAGAAAAAACAATATAACGTTGTTTTATTTTACAGTATAAGCCACTCGACATTACATGTACTGTTAATCAATTACATTATGATGCACCTATGGGAGGACACTGAAGGAAGAAGAAGAGTGCAAGAAATCTATTTCCAGTAGTTGGTTCCAATGAAAGAGCCATTGCGTCTTAAAAATCAAAAGCACGGGATCAAGTTTTGAAGTTTGCATGATATTTCAAATTAGCGAGAATTTGAAAATTCATTGGCACAAGTGAGGATGCAATGGCCATTTATGGATATTACAACTTTGTAAGAGCAGAAATTAGTGAAGCACTAGTGCTATACCCGCATGTTACTATGGGGAATTTCTTTGTTACATTTTCTTTTATATGAAAGATAAAGCCTGATTTAAATATAACTATTTATTAAAGAAGCTACATCAACTTTTTTGTTATATTCCTCTTATTAAAATGCTTTCTCGTAGTCATTACAACTTGAATTGCGCTTTAACTTTATAGACATATTGTTGAATTTTGATGTAACTTTGTTGAACATATTGTATACTAAAATCTAATTTAATAAAATTAGTCATATTAACTTTCATCCTATAAAATGTAATTGTACAAATAATCACGCAGTTTATATCACTCTGTTTGCATTCAATGGAAATAGAATTTGAAATAAAGTGCAAACCAAGAAAGTAAAAGGTTTAAAATTTGTATGGCTCTTTGTCGAATGGCTTGATAGGTTGGAAACTTGCACCCACAACTTAATTAGGGAACCTACACCAAATACAGATTTGCAAATAATAATTTCTCCTTTCAAAAAATAATTGGGTTATTTGCACCTCCCTCACCTCAGTTCTATATTATTAGTACATACATTCTCTGGTTCTATGATTGTACATCGCATAATTAGTTTTAAATTTCAGTATGAATCACATGATGATTGGTTTAATTCAAAATTTATCAAGAGGTACATTAATGCAAGATTCTCATACGAAATAACTTAAAGAAAAAGGAACTTAATCATATGAGACAGAAGACATATACGTTATTAGTGAAATAAAAATAAAAATGAAAACAATTTTTTTTGCATTTTCCCCCATGCTCATGAAGTCCCAATGGAGTTATTTTCTATTCTTGAATTGAAAACTGATTGTATACAATATTGTAGGTTGAAGATGATGATGGTGAATTTTTATAGTGCATTAGTAGAGAAAGGGGTTATACGTTGAAAATTTGAATGAGTTTGTGTGAGAATTAATTGTTAATGATGGGTTATAAAAGTATAATTTAATTCATGGGTTAAATTGTTTTGGGGTTATACATAATGAATAGTTTCTTTAATGGATTGTTTGCACTACAAAGGTAACTTTTCATATTACCAATATTATCATATTATTTATTTGAATTGTAAAAAAAAAATTAATATAAAAAACTCTAAGAAGTTGCCAAGTAGCAACTGTAGGGTCTTGTTTTAGTATATAGATAGATATGGATGCAAGACTATAAACATGATAGCAAACATAAAAGCTATATATTGGATTAGAAACCTTACCACCAAATAAGTCCACCAAAATTTTCCAGATATAATGGACATCACTTGTACAAAGCTCGTTATGTAGATCACATCATGCAAGTAGCTGCAAATAGAAATTATTCGTCAATTGGTAATTAGATAGGACTTTCCACTATGAGGGTGGAACAATATTGTAAGAAAAGATACGGATGGTTAAGGCTCCAAAAATGAATTGTGGTATGTTCCTTGTACATACATTGAAGTTATATTCCTTCTTGCTTGCTCGTCTTATGATTATTCAATTGTTAACAGGCATCTCTTTTCCTCTAAAAAGTAATTCTCAAAGCACCAGTATGATGAACACCCTAAATGCATAAAGGATCACAATTCTATAAGCACTATTATAATAAATACTCATACGCACCTATTTGCAGCCAAGGAATCATACTCCCTTTAAAAGAGGGAGTTGTGGCAAAAAAATTCATGGACTATATTACCCCTATTCTTTTTTGATATTATATTCTAATCATAAATTAACTAAATTAATTATCATTATTAATTAATCATATTACATGCCACTTTAATTTTGTCTAACTTGGCCCTAAAACTTCCAATGTTATTGTAAAACTCTCATATTAATTATTAATAATGCATAATACTATATTGATAGACAATTGTAAGTTAATAAATTATTTTGGAATGAGTATAAAATATAGAATTGTCCTAAAATTATATCGTGGCACTCACATAGAAAAATTATAAAGAGTATTCTTGCGTACATAAGTACAAACATGCAATTTTAGAAAATACTAGGATATCTAAGTGCATTAAGATATAAGTGGAGGTAAATGAATGTAACTTTCGTAAGTTGTAAGCTATTTATGTTTAATTAAGCCTATAAAGATTTGGAACATTTGTTAAACACAAGCAATAGTATGTGATCCCTTTGATAAATAATATACATCGTATAATATGAGGCAAGAGGTTTAGCTTATATTTATATAGTACAAAAGATGTGGAAAATTTTAAGCATCATATTTTGAATAAGCCTCAAGATTTTGAATTATAAATGAAATTATATACTTCACTTAGAATCATACTCCCTTTAAAAGAGGAAGTTGTAGAAAAAACTTTCTATAGACTATATTACCCTAATTTTTTAAATATTATATTTTAATCCTAACTAAACTAAATTAATTATTATTGTTAATTAATCATATTATATGTCACTTCAAGTTTGTCTAACTTGGTCCCTAAAACTTCTAATGTTATTGTAAAACTCTCATAATAATTATTAGTAATGTCTAATAGTATATTAAAGACAATTGCATGTTAATAAATTATTAATGGAAAGAATAGAAAATATAGAATTATCCTAAAATTATATCATTATATTCATATAGGAAAATTACAAATAGTATTCTTACATATAGAAGGCACAGACATGCAATTTTAAAAACATTAGGATATTTAAGTGCAGCAAGTTACAAGTGGAGGTATGTAATTGAAAGTTTTATAAACTGTAAGGTATTTAATTTAATTAAGCCAATAAAAATTTAAAACCTTTGTTAACCACAAGCAATAGTATGTGATCTCTTTGATAAATAATATTCATCGTATAATATGAGGCCAGCGGGTTAGTTTATATTTATATACTAGAGGAAATGTGGGGAAATTAAAGCATCATATTTTGAATAATCTTAAGATTTTGAATTATTTCTAAATTTGTATACTTTGCTTAGAAAACTTTAGAAGAGGCTTTCGAAGGACCACTACAAAGTGTTGGGCATCATATAAATGCTGGACAAATAAAATCCATGATATTTGATTGCAATAATAGGAGTTATGTAAAAAATATCTGGGTGTCATATGAGATAATGCTCATACATAATATAATATTTTAATCTATAATCTAAGATATTGATGAATTTTTAACATAAGAATTTGCGTCAAGATATATGCTTGAGATTTGGGAGAGCTAAGAGTTAAGAGATTTGGGATATGAATAGTGGCTTTTATGACTTGTGCTTTAGTTTTGGTTTCCAAACACGACCTAATACCAAGCCCACAATCAAATTGAAAATGACTCAATTTTGTTATACCATCCAATATTTTCGATAATGATCGATATATGAGAAAAAAAACCAAATAAAAAAAATAATATAAAACCATAAATATTATTAAGATAAAATATTTAACCTTTTATATCACAGTCGATAGTAGGGGTGGGCAAAAACCAAAAAAAAATCGGTTCAACCGAAAAAACCGTCCGAAAAACAGGCCGGTTAACCGAACCGGATTAAATGGATGAGAAGAAGGCTCTAAACCGCTCAAACCGGATTAAACCGGTCTAGATCCGGTTTGAACCCCTGAACCGCCCGAAAAAAACCGACCCGGATTTATATATATATATTATTTATATTTATTATTTTTAATATCTGTTACCTCCTGATTGGTCTCCACAACTCTTTAGTGTGCACCCTACCACACTGAATTGTCTAATATAAATAGTTAAAAATCCCTAACCCTACCTCTATTTCTCCCACAACATCATCGATCGATCTGCCTCTCCTTCTCAAAACCCTAACTCCATTCCCAGATTTCAAAACCAAAGACCTAATCCTCCAAATCTCAAATTCTCTTCCTCCGATTCTTTCCTCCAACTTCATTTCTTAAATTACATGGTGCTCACAGCTCATTTTATTGATGATTGGATTTTACACAAGAATCTTGAACTTTTGTGTGATACCAAACCATATGGAGAAGACTATTGGGCAGCTAGTTGAAACTTGTCTTATTAAGTGGGGAATAGGGAAAAAAATTTGTATTGTTGTTGATAATGTTTCTCCTAATCAAGTGGCTTTAGATTACATGAAAAAGAAGATAGGGAATTGGAATGAGCTAGTCCTAAAAGGGGAGTTTCCGCATATGAGGTGTTGCTGTCACAATCTTAACTTAGTGGTTAAGGATGGAATGGCAGAGCTGGAATCCTCGGTTGAGTCCATTAGAAATTGTGTGAAGTACATTAGATCAAGTCCTTCTAGGTTGGAGAAGTTTAGAAAGTGTGCAGCTCAAGAAAAAGTGGAGCACAAAGGTGGGAAAGTGCCTTTGGATGTTTGCACTAGGTGGAACTCTACATACTTAATGCTAGACATAGCCATTAAGTACCAAAAGGCATTTCTTAAGTACCAGAAGGCATTTCTTAGGTTGGAGGATGAGGATCCACAATTTGTTGCATACTTCAATGATAGAGCTGGACCTCTAATTGCAGAGGATTGGAACAAATCTGGAAGGCTGGTGAGGTTTTTGAAGATTTCCTATGAGGCAATCCTTGATTTCAGTGGGACACAAGTTGTGACTTAGAATCAGCCAATCCAATGGATGTGTACACTGATTGGAGAGATGAACAAGTGCATCGATAGTAAACTATTAAACTTCATCTCAAATTTACTTTTATCTTCTTTTTTTATGTCTTTAACAATTTAACAATTTTAACTAAATGCCTCTTATGCGTATTTTTGCAAGGTAATGATGTATTGATTGCCAAAATTGCCAAATCAATGAAGGAGAAATTCGACAAATATTGGGGGAAAGTTGAAAACATCAACAAAATTCTTCTCGTTGCGGTTGTTCTAGATCCAAGGTATTGCACTATTGAAGTTTTGATTGCTTCTTTTCTTATTGGCTTATGTGTTGTTTACTACTTTTCTTATTGCATCTGTTGGTAGTGTTATTCTGTTTACGTATTTTTATTATGTTTTGTTTTAAGGTACAAGTTTCTATACTTGGATTTCCTTTTCCCCAAATTGAAGATAGACAAGAAGCTGACGGAGGTGTTGGTGATTAATGTGAAGAGCACATTGCAGGAGCTCTTCAATGAGTATGCAGCTAATGATCCTGATGCTGCCCTTGCTTCTTATAATTCAACTCAGCCAATGTCAGCCTCAAGTGGAATAGTTGATGAGGAGGATAACCATTCTGTAACTGTGAATGAGTTTGTAAAGCTTCGACAGGAGAAAGATGTGATGGAGATAAAGACTGAGGTTGACAAGTATATGATGGAGGCATCTGAGGACCCTAGAAACCCTAACTTTCAACTGTTGGGTTGGTGGAAAGAGAATTCAGCTAGGTTCTCAATCTTGTCTCAAATTGCAATGGATGTTTTTGCAGTGCCTGCCTCAACAGTAGCATCTGAAAGTGCTTTTAGCCTTGGATCAAGGATTCTGGATCCATTTCGTGCAAGTCTAACCCCAAAAATGGTTGAGGCTTTGGTATGTACTAGTGACTGGTTGAGAGACACTAGCAAGCCAATGTTTAAGCCAGTGTTTATTGAGCCTATCAAGACTGAAATGGAGCAGTATTCTGAGTTGGAAAAGCTCACATCAGGTAGCTATTTTGTTTTGCTTTTGAATTTATATATCTCTGTTGTTTTGTAAGTATGGTTTTTAAAGATTGATATGGTTATTCTCTTGTTTTTATAGAATCTGTTGTCACAAATGCTTCAGCCTCATCATCAGACCATGTAGAATTTGCCAATATGGGGATTTGCTGCTGTCTGTTTAATGTTTATTTTAATTTCAATGTACTGAACTTAAGAACTTAAGTAGGTGTTCCTTTAATTATTTCTGGACTATTTGCATGGTTTGTAACTAAGTAACTCTTTAATGAGTTTATTACTGTGATATGGTATGTACTTGTTGATATGGTTTGCGCTCATTTCACTGATTTTAGTTTTGATTTGATGAATATAACTGAAACTTGCCCAGATTTTTTGTGAAATGGAGTTAATTCGGCCCAAATCCGAAACGGATCCGGCCCGATCCGAATTTCAGTTGGGCCGAATATTCGGATTAAGGGGGGAAAATATGAATCTGGATGAGAGTTTTGAGAATCCGAAAAATTCGGATTGGATGTGGATAGGGCTTAAAACCAGCCCGATCCGAATATGCCCAGCCCTAGTCGATAGAGCTCTATATCGGCCAATATTTCATATATTACCTATAAGAGCAATATTTAAAGGTAATTTAGATATCATTTCATTGATTTTAAATCTCCAATAATTCTACATTATTCCCTTAAAATTTTGAAATTACTTATAATTTAGGTACTAATATAGAATTATAAAATATTTGAGCTAAATTTAAAAGAATAGTTAATTCTTTGAAAACTCTCTCAAGTATGGGGAATGTCTCAAAAAACCACTCAACTAATTTAATTTGACAGCACCTCCTAACTATAGAGGTGTTGTAGATAACTCATTTTAACTTTGGTGCGATTTTAGAAAACACCCTTCGACTTGGCGTGTCTTATAAAAACTCTCCTGATCTTTTACACATCTCTTAACAAACTCCCTTAATGTAAAAGAGTTTAATAAGTGATTTTGTCAAAATGCCCTATTAAATAAAGCCATTTTAGTTAAAAAAAACTCTCAACCGATAATAAAAGAATTACGACCAATTTACAATTCTTTTTACCTCTAAATCTTCACTTTTTCTTTCATCTAGCAAAAAACCAAGCTAATTCTTTTATGGTTGAGGGATATTTTGGTTTTTCTAAGTTAAGTACTGATCACATAATGAATTCGACTCAATGATATCAGTTTTGAGAGGTAAATTGAGAAAATTTTATAGGGTTAAATCAAAAATTTTAAGTTGAGATAGATTAACTATAACACCCCAATTTTGACGAACAAACATTTACTCATTTCAAGTAGTTGAGGGGGGAGGATTTTTTAATATTTCCCCCATAGTTGAAGGAAAGTTTTCTAAAATTAACCCATAAACAAAGCACAATTTAAGACACATGTGACATTAATCTTATAAGAGTGGATTTTATAGCAAGTCTATCAATATCTCTGAAAATCTTTTGCAACAAAATTAGCAGAAAAAATTTTAATCTTTATTTAGAATGACTATGTGATCCTTATGTTCCCCCTATCTTTTATGATTTGTAATAAATTATTTAACAAAATAAACTAAGTTGTTCATTTTATATGTCTCACTTTTATGAAGCATATGGTTTGGATATGAGTGTTATTAGATTCTTTTAACTCTTTAGCTTAAAATTTTGGATATTATTCAATATTGGATAGATCTATATTGTTTTGTTAAAATACAATCCATATGTGTACAAAATATGTTTAAATCATTCTCAAATTGTATTTTATAGTTTTCTAAAATTAGAGAGTAATCGTTTTGACAAATTAATTAATTAGTTGAGAAGATGTAGGAAGATAATAATATCAGATTTTGGTATTAATCACATAATTTATATTTTCTTTCTTGATTAAATTTGCACATTCTAACTTTAAAATTTCTATAAAAAAGTTTTTGAATATCTATAATACTAGGTCGCCAGATAATAGAAAGTGGAAGTAGACAATAGGCGCAAGTGGTTTCTTTATAATTAAACAAAATCCTCTGACCAGATAAACCTATCATTTTAAGTTGATGAATTCAAGATTTATTTTTTCATTAATAATAATAGTTTTTTAGATATTGGTGCTTACATCATTAATATTTTAAATTAAAATTCCAAATCATTAAATTGCTCTTAGATTATTAATATTTTAAGACTTTAAACCTCACTAATTATGTGTAAGGTAAAGTGTTGAAACGAACAAGATTTTATATATTGAAATATCTGAAACTTTTTAATATATTATGATAATCATAAACTTTTTTGCAACTATGTTATAGTAAACACATAAACTAAAAATCAACAATTATAATATTTGACCACGTGCATTCCACTTAGTCTTAATTAAAAATATGAGAACACCAAGTATGATAAATACCAAAAAAATTGCATAACTCTCTTCAAATTTGGAAAAAAAAAAATACAATCAGGTAGAAACTAAATTATAAGTCATCGATAGCCACTTTGACAAAAATCACAATCATCAAGAAACTAAATTATAAGTCATTGATAGCCAATTTGACAAAAATCACAATCATCAAGCTGTGATTTCTGAACAAATTGTGCTTCTATTTGTGGGAACTCGATTATAGCAGATAATGCTATTATGCTGTTTAAAGTACCTTAAGTTCCTTAAGCCTGTCTAAAACCAAATAATTTATGTTCAATTGCCTGTTTTAGCACCTCGGAAATCCCTTAATATTTACACCGCCACCTGACAAAGTGAACCTTTAAGCTGTCTAAGCCAATCTAAGACCGCATAATTCATTTTCAGCTGCCCGTTTCCATCAGTTACCTGTTTCAGTACCTAGACAATCGCTTAGTATTTACACTGCCACCTAACCAAGTGCACAGGGCGGATCTCTGTAGTCTGGATGGTTAAGGGTAGCTGTGAATTATGAGCAAATTGTGCTTCTATCTGTGGGAACTCGACTATAGCAGACAATGCTACTATGCACTTAAACTACCTTAAGTTCCTTAAGTTTGTCTAAAACCACATAATTTATTTTCTATTGTCTGTTTTAGCACCTAGGGAGTCCCTTAATATTTACACTGCTACCTGACAAAGTGAACCATTAAGCTGTCTAAGCCAATCCAAAACCACATAATTCATTTTCAGTTGCCTCTTTCTTTCAGCTACCTGTTTCAGTACCTAGACAGTCGCTTAGTATTTTACACTGCCACCCAACCAAGTGCACAGGGCAGATCTCTATAGTCTGGATGGTTAAGAGTAGATGGCCACCCTGCAGCCCCTAGCCTGCTTCTGTCAGGTCTTAATATGCTTCCTTTTATTTTTATGAAATATTTCACGTACATTAATGCCTTCATACTACCGAGGTTTACACAATAAGTCCTGGAAACCATATAATACAGCCCCACAAAATACATTGACACCCTCTAGCAAGGAGTAAAGTGTATTTGTCACTCTATTCTACAAGCAGTAAAGTAGTTATAACTGATTCGTGAAGGTTGTTTGTTGTTCCCTATGATGTAGTATGGCTCGACTCTCCCTACAGACCTCATACTTGCTAAAATCTAAATTATACAAGTATAGACAATACCTTTTAGGGAACAAGTGAAGGTACTTCTTAGATGTAAAAACAGCTGATCACGACTTATATACAAAAAGAACAAAAATAATGAAACTACATTAAAAAATGGGCAAAATCATTCTTTAAGGTTCTTCAGATAAAGGACCACATAAGCTATGTAACACATTTTTCATAACAAATATAGTCATTGAAGCCTCTGTTTTATATTCAAGAATTCAGTCAGCAAAGGCAGAAGGCATACCCACAAATTCCATCTGTGGTCATATCAAACCCACCATCTAAAAGTTCTCCGTTATCAGAGTATGCTGGCTTTGCCATATTGGCAAGTTGCTGATAAGAAATACCATAGGCAGCAGATGTCACAAGGAGACCAACCCAATGCTTCCATGTGAAGGAAGAGTGAAAGAAAAGCATTCTGATCAAGACATAAATGACCTGCAGATATATCAGTTAGGCACATATGAAGTACAAAACCTTTAGAAAAGAAGAATAAAGGACTTCTAATTTGGCCTGGTAGAATTTCAAGTGCATGATCAAGAGAGTAATCGATCAGTAAACCGGCATGGTTCGTCACTCAAATCATTTTATAGTATAAATAAACATCAATTCTGTTTAGCCAAATAATTTGCACGGGTTACTTGGAACTCATGAATATCAAATTTTTATACCAGATACATAGAGAGAAAACCTAAATGCGTGAATCAAGACCAACACTGTTGCTTAAGTTATGAGATTCTGAGACATGGCATGGAGGCATGCTAGACAACTATAGCCATTTCAAGTATTCAATGAAACTTCATAGGCACATTGATAGAGATCAGATTAATTTAGATAGATTTGAATTTTAATTTAGTTGTTTGCTTTTTGAATTCTGCTAGGACAGAGGTAATTTGGATTTTAAATTGTATTAGGATTAAATTATTTGATTATCAGATTGTAGTTTGAAGCATAAAGTTATATTAGAGATAGGATCACAACTCTATAAAAAGTAGTAGTGAACTTCATTGAAAGCAGAGATGACTTAGTAAAATTAAAGCTAGAGAAAAATGGAGACTGGAGAGCTTCCTCATAGGTGCCCATGTGTGATTCTGACCATTTAAGATTAAGTGCATATAAGACTACTGTTTGCGTCAAAAGTTGGTTTTGTCATGGAATTCATTATATCTTCAGTCGATTACAATAAATTCAAAAGAAATAGCCTTTTTATAAGACTTCTTTTACACAACAAAATAAAAATTACAACTCTTGGGAAACAAACGCAGAATCGTTGTTTGGATCACTGCTTGCGTGGGATCTTTGCCTGTGCCGGAGGTGCGTTAGCCCGTGGACCACCAAATCACAGATTCTGATCGAATCGTGAGGGGTTTATGATTCTGACTTCGTTTATCGAAGTGAGAACTTGAAACGATATCTTATCAAGGTAAGATAGTCGTTCTTCTTGAAATCAAGTCAAAGCCTGAATATCAAGGAGTTGCCAGAAACTCAAGAACTCTGCTCTCTCTCTGCTCTGGATTGCTCTGAAATGCTCAAAATGATCAGCCCCCCTGAAAAATGGCCTTCGAGGGGTATTTATAGCTCCTATGAACAGTTGGCGAAAACAGGCTCGGAATCGGAGAGGAAGAATTTTATATTCTATCTCCTGGTCTCTTGTTTGTTGGTAGAGATAAACTCGGAATCGGAGAGGAAGAATTTTATATTCTATCTCCTGGTCTCTTGTTTGTTGGTAGAGATGAACCCGGAATCGGAGAGGAAGAATTTTATATTCTATCTCCTGGTCTCTTGTTTGTTGGTAGAGATGAACCCGATGATGGAGAGGAAGAATTTTATATTCTATCTCCTGGTCTCTTGTTTGTTGGTAGAGATGAACCCGATGATGGAGAGGAAGAATTTTATATTCTATCTCCTGGTCTCTTGTTTGTTGGTAGAGATGAACCCGATAATGGAGAGGAAGAATTTTATATTCTGTCTCCTGGTCTCTTGTTTGTTGGTAGAGATGAACCCGATGATGGAGAGGAAGAATTTTATATTCTATCTCCTGGTCTCTTGTTTGTTGGTAGAGATGAACCCGATGATGGAGAGGAAGAATTTTATATTCTATCTCCTGGTCTCTTGTTTGTTGGTAGAGATGAACCCGATGATGGAGAGGAAGAATTTTATATTCTATCTCCTGGTCTCTTGTTTGTTGGTAGAGATGAACCCGATGATGGAGAGGAAGAATTTTATATTCTATCTCCTGGTCTCTTGTTTGTTGGTAGAGATGAACCCGATGATGGAGAGGAAGAATTTTATATTCTATCTCCTGGTCTCTTGTTTGTTGGTAGAGATGAACCCGATGATGGAGAGGAAGAATTTTATATTCTATCTCCTGGTCTCTTGTTTGTTGGTAGAGATAAACCCAGAATCGGAGAGAAAGAATTTTATATTCTATCTCCTGGAGTAAAGAAACTCAAAGTGGGATCTCCACTTAGAGAATCTGGATTGGTTTGAATAATCCTAACTGTCATAAGGTTTGATTACTCAATTCAAAAGTGGACCCTTCGTTCGCAAAAAATGAATCGAAAGGAGATTTTGGTTGTGGTCCTAACTGTAGTAAGGTTTGACCAAGTTGGAGTTTTGAGACGATCCTAACTGTTTAAAGGTTTGATCGTTCAATTTGTGGACCTCTCGTTCATGGAACGAATCGAGAGGGGATTTTGGCTTTGGTCCTAACTGTTTAAAGGTTTGACCAAGATGGGAATTTGAGACGATCCTAACTGTTTAAAGGTTTGATCGTTCAATTTGTGGACCTCTCGTTCATGGAACGAATCGAGAGGGGATTTTGGCTTTGGTCCTAACTGTTTAAAGGTTTGACCAAGATGGGAATTTGAGACGATCCTAACTGTTTAAAGGTTTGATCGTTCAATTTGTGGACCTCTCGTTCATGGAACGAATCGAGAGGGGATTTTGGCTTTGGTCCTAACTGTTTAAAGGTTTGACCAAGATGGGAATTTGAGACGATCCTAACTGTTTAAAGGTTTGATCGTTCAATTTGTGGACCTCTCGTTCATGGAACGAATCGAGAGGGGATTTTGGCTTTGGTCCTAACTGTTTAAAGGTTTGACCAAGATGGGAATTTGAGACGATCCTAACTGTTTAAAGGTTTGATCATTCAATTTGTGGACCTCTCGTTCATGGAACGAATCGAGAGGAGATTTTGGCTTTGGTCCTAACTGTTTAAAGGTTTGACCAAATGAGGGTTTGAGAAGGAAGATTGATCCAACGAAGTGATCGAATCTTATCTCAGCAAAAGAATATTCGTAAATCACCGTGGAGATGTAGTGTTTAACACTTTATTTGTAATGATCGGGTTATTCCTAAGAAAATTACATATAGCATTCTTTTGGGAACTTCCGTTATATGAACCATCCACCCCCAGCTTTTTCTTGCGAAACTGAGTTTATCATTATGTTTAGCTATTTGATCGGGTTATCCTTAAAAGTACCATGCATGGCATTCTCCAGGAACTTCCCGTGAAAGAAAGGAAATAGTTTAGACTCATATACCTGTTGGAGTATTAAGGAGCAGTTTATACTCGTATACTTTTCGGAGTGAGATGGAGAAATAGTTTATACTCGTATACTCATCGGAGTCAGGGAAAACAGTTTATACTCGTGTACCCAATGGAGTTGTTTTGGTCGTCTTTACTCGACTTCTTTCGTCGTTATGACGCCGGAGTCAATTAGGGCTTGGATCTTGTTTTTGAGTCCAAAGCAAATCTCGGTGGGATGAAGAACCCTTCTGTGACACGCACAATAGTTTGGATCCGTAATCCTCTTAGCTCCATCCTGATCTTTAATATGTGGTAGCTCAATTTTGTCATTAGCGAGGAGGTATTCCAATATGGCTGGAGCTTCATCATCTTCGAAAGAATACTCCTTTTGGAACCTCGGATCGAGAGTTGCGTTCACAGGAATTGTGGATGCCGTCGGTTGACCTCTCTCAACTTTCTTTCTTTTAAGAAAGTGTTCAGCTTGTTCGCCACGTAATTTCAACTCTTTCCAAGTTTTGGATGGCACGACCCCCAGAGCTTCCAAGACATCGATGGAGAGGTTATTGTGGCATGTTTGCAGGATGAACTCCTCTGTAATAGGATCTTTGCAATTTATTGCCTTGTCACGGAAGCGCTTGACAAAATTATCAATAGACTCTCCGTCTTTTTGCTTCTCATCCAAAAGGGTTCCGATTGACACTTCGGTGTCATCATCGAAGAAATTGCTGAGGAACAAACTTTCCATGTCATCCCAACAATTGATGCTCCCTGGCTTGAGCCGTCGGTACCAATCGAAGGCGGGCCCGCGAAGGGTGCCAACGAATGACCGGACCATTAAAGCCTCGTTTCCAGAGATCATGCCCAAATGAGACTTGAAATAAATCAAGTGTTGAATCGGCGAACTCTTCCCTTCAAACGGTGTGAAGTTAATCAGATTGAATTTGGTCGGGTATGGTATTGAATCCCATTCCCTCGGATAAGGACATGGAATACCCGTCTTCTTAACTTCTTGAGCCGTCATCAAAGCATTGATTTTGTCTTCAAGTTTTTGCATTTTCCCGTCATCGTCTTCATTTCTTTCTGAATGATGTCGAGTAAAGATAATTGGACCACCCCCAGTGAGAGGTGCTATTGAACCACCCCCAATATCGTTATTGGGAGGATCTGTTGAACCACCCCCAGTGTTATTGTCATTGGGAGGTGTATCAGCTATAATAACTTTATCCACTTCTGGATCACTGTCATCCACAACTTTCTGAGTGTGACGGCTGGATTCAGTTCTTTGACTGGACTTAGGGGGTTGAGGCCGCTGAGCTAGCAATTCTCTCATTTGTTGGATAGCTAACTCCGTTTCTGTCTTGACTTCAGCTCTAATTTCTTCACGTTGTTTGGCTAGAGCTTCTTGAAGTATTTGAGCAAATTGATCAGAGGTGATCGTGAGTACTTCTCTGGTTTGTCCTGTGCTAGACATTGTATCATCAGAAGCGATTGCAGAATAAGTGTCCGAGAATTCATCCTCCGAGGACATTCCTTCTTGCATTCTCTTGTAATTTCTGCGTCTGATGGCTCCTAATTGGAGTCGAGACATCCTTAGAGAATTCTTGGATTGACTCTTCCTCTCGGGAAAAAGTCAGGATTTGAGTCACTTGAATGCCGCTTAGACTTTCTTTTATCAGCCACGTTGATGGTGACTTCAAGGAATTCATCATCTTGGATAGCTGATCTTATAAGTCGTGCACAGGAACAATGAGAGCGAATAATTCCTTTTTGAAATTTATTCACACCCCCAACTTGATAATACGATTCATCGGTATGATTGCCAAAAAATCGTATCGTTTGTTGGCATGACTTCTCAGGTATGACGATGTCTTTTGGTGAATGCGTCTTCTTCTGAGGGTGTAAAACCTTGTTGGCATTCTCAGGACAATTTATTGTTGCCTTTAAACGATCCAAGGTTATATCGGGGGTCGCACGTTTAGAACCACCCCCTTGTGGGTATGGAGTCTTAACGGGCTCCGAATGCTGATTTTGCACAACTCCAGTTTTTGGAATCATGCTGATTTTGCACAACTCCAGACTTTAGAATCCAAACTTGGCAGAGTTTCGGTGGTTCTTTGGTCACCGTTTCCTTCTTCCTTTCTCGTCTTTGTTGCAGAGTTTCGGTGGTTCTTTGGTCACCGTTTCCTTCTTCCTTTCTCGTCTTTGTTGTAAGAGAGTACGGACATGAGCAGCGTTTGCACGATGTTTTTGTATGCATTCTTTAAGGGTCGAACGAGTCCTTCTGACAGTAGTCCACTCCTCCGTCATGAGTTTAGCAGAGACATAAATGATTGGTTGTTGAGACAACTGAACCACTCGATGCTTCCTCGACTCTAAGTCCGCATGATAACGAACCCCGTCGGTTTGTTCCAACGCTTTAGTCATTTGGCGAGCGCGGCGCTGACGTTGTCTCTGACGAGCTCTCTTCGTCAATGCTGATGGGCTTTGATTCGATGACTCTTTAACTAGATAAGAGTCATTGTGAGCAGAGGTGATGCGAGTAAAATCCTCAGCAACAATCAGGCGAGAGTTTTCATTTTGTGTCTTCTTTGGCATGGAAGTCTTCTTCAGTGGTGAGATCCTCTTGTACTTGCGAGACAATGAAGATCTTGAAGAGGATGATAAGAGATATTCCTCAAACTTGGTTTGGTCGAATTCGTATTCGACCATGGATTCAACTGGAATCTTGATGATTGGCTGCGACACGACGGTCTCGGCAGCGAGACCGTTGGCTCCCACTGTGTTCGCCAGCTTGTTTGCGTCAAAAGTTGGTTTTGCTGTGGAATTCATTATATCTTCGTTCGATTACAATAAATTCAAAGAAATAGCCTTTTTATAAGACCTCTTTTACACAACAAAATAAAAAATTAGAACTCTTGGGAAACAAACGCAGGATCGTTGTTTGGATCGCTGCTTGCGTGGGATCTTTGCCTGTGCCGGGAGCGCTTTGACTCGTGGACCACCAAATCACAGATTCTGATCGAATCGTGAGGGGTTTATGATTCTGACTTCGTTTATCGAAGTGAGAACTTGAAACGATATCTTATCAAGGTAAGATAGTCGTTCTTCTTGAAATCAAGTCAAAGCCTGAATATCAAGGAGTTGCCAGAAGCTCAAGAACTCTGCTCTCTCTCTGCTCTGGATTGCTCTGAAATGCTCAAAATGATCAGCCCCCCTGAAAAATGGCCTTCGGGGGGTATTTATAGCCCCTATGAACAGTTGGCGGAAAACAGGCTCGCGAGACAGCTTTTGCTGTCTCGGCTGTCGAGACAGTATTTGCTGTCTCGGCGGGCGAGACAGTGTTTGCTGTCTCGGCCCGTGAGACAGATGGCCTTCGGGGGATATTTATAACCTCCAAGAACAGTTGGCGAAAACAGACTCGCGAGACAGCATTTGCTGTCTCGGCTGTCGAGACAGTGTTTGCTGTCTCGGCGGGCGAGACAGTGTTTGCTGTCTCGGCCCGCGAGATAGTAAACGCTATCTCGGAAACAGTAACCGTCAGGCAGTTTTCGCTGTAACTGCCTTCCCACGTTTCAAACTCCGTTATTTTGGCAGTTATCCACGTGATTCTCGCCCACGACGTTTCCCACGTTCTTGAACAGTTAGTGGCCACGTGTAGGGCAGTTACAAAGGCAGTTTTGACCATCTGAGAGCTGTCTCACATGCGAGACAGTAAATTCTGTCTCGCATGGTGAGACAGTAAAGACTGTCTCGCTGCGAGACAGTAAAGACTGTCTCGCTGCGATTCAAAATCAATCTAAGAGCATCCATCCCTTTTAAGATTCTGACATGGTCTCTACTCAAATACGTCTCATCATCTTCTCACGTGAACCGAAGCTCCACAACTCTTGCGACTTTGAACCCAAACACCACCTGATCCTCACCGAACTCCCACGTCCTGAGCACAATCTGCGATTCTGATACAATTCTCATCCGTGAAAATACTTGACTCCGCCCTCAACCCCTTAAACCAGCAACTATGACGTTGGTTCCTCCACCGGCTCACCGTTGATCCTTACAGTCAAGAACCACCCTCGCTTCAGTTGTGATTGGAGTTTTGCCTTATCTTTACCACCTTGTCTTGTCCATCAACTTTGTCTCAAGACGATTCTGCCTCTGATCTTCTCCCACCTTCATCCTTATATTTTGATTTTTCTGTCCTCCGCTCGACTTTGCCCTATCATAATGCCGATCTCACCGAATTCATCAGTGCTGACCACCACCTCGTTAGTCCCCCGCTACAACCACCTTCATCCAATCCCAATCTCCTTAGTCCATCCACAAACCCCAAAGCGCCGATTCCTCCACATTCCACAACCAACATGAAGTTTTCTTCTCCGGACCTCCTGCCAACCCAAGCTTCCTTCATGGACCTTTGCGATCAATGACTAGAGATAGATCTAATACAAATCACAACATCATCCTGTGGTTAAATCAATTGCGCTGGTCAAAGGTTTGCGTTTGGTAAAGAACCTCAACCTTGAAGGTCATTTGCATGCTCTAACTCACATCAATTCAAGAAGTCTTACTACCCATTACAGATTCTGCAAATTTTGGGTGACTTCTCACGTGCTACAGGTCTAAGTCAATCTTTCCCATCACCATTATAGCTTTCGTTACCGTTTTGATTATTAGTTTAGATTTACAATTTCGATCTTTTTTTTTTTTTGTTATTCTATGTTTGCTTGCATTTGCATGTCATTCAGGTTAGTTGTTTAGAACCCTATAAAATCATGTTGTGTAACATATGACAAGCATTTTCAGCATATCATTCAGATTAGTCGTTTTAGATAAGTTTGCTACCTCAATTTCATTCTTCTTCTGTTCAATCGATTTCTTGCCATTTCCGAACAATTTATCTCCACAATTTCTTAGCACAAATCCTAGACCGAATGAAACCCTAAATGGCAAATAAAACCAAATAGAGTCATCCTAAACTTAAAAAGAGGAAATTTAGGGCAATTTCTCATGTTTTCATCCACTGATCCACATAGATCTCTATTTAGTGAATAAATCTAATGCAACTGAACTGAAATCGAACAGATCGAGAAATTAAATCCGAGAAAATAGCAAGCTAGGGTTTCGAAGACACTAACGTTGCAGGCGATGATGAGGCGAAGGAGATTGGCCATGTGCTTCTTGTTCTCCTCCTTCCTCTTCTTCGCTCCTTGATTCGCCATTGACCCTCCTCTCTGTCTCTCTCTCTCTCTCGCTCGCTCGCTCTGGTCGAGCTTCTTACTGTAGTGTAACTGCGATTACCAGATACGTACGGTGCTTGGGGGCCCGGCCCATTAGGATCCAGTTATGTTATGTTATGGGCTACGCTGTACGGAGAGTACTTGACAGAATAATGGCCAGCCCAATTGCTTCTGCTTTTTGACAGGTCAGCATAAACCAACCTCTTTAATGTTATGACCTATTTGGTTTTTTTAAGAAATTGTTTTTGATGTCCTAGCTTCAAAAAAAAGTCAAAACTTATGATCTTGCATAGATGACCCTTAAATCGTGGGTATTTGCAAAACCACTCTCTAAAATCTTTGTATTTATAAAAACTATCTCTCAAATCATCAAATTTGAAAGGGAAAAAAAATACTCAAATCAATTAGTCATCAACTTTTGATAGGGTATTGTGTAATTATATAATGTAAAAATTATCAACATAAAAGTCAGATGTTTACTCAACAATCTAATGATTTATTGATTTTAGATACTTTTTTTCCTAAAGTTGACGATTTGGGGATTGATTTGCAAATAAGTGATTTTGGTAAATTATAACTATAATCTATTTCTAAATAAGATATACATCTTCCACTTAATCCGTTGCAATTCTTTAACTGATTCGTGTAAAGCTTCCTTCAACCCTTTTTATGCTTTCTGATGCCATTTTTATTTTTTTCTTTAGTTTGTTTTAGTCGTGTAATAATGTGAATTTAGATGTTTTTAACAACTACTAGCAATAATAAAAGGGGGGAAAGCTAAAAATGTCATGCGTCAACATTTTAATCCTGCCCCCCTGTTGTTTATTGTTATATAATCCAACGTTATTCTCGTTGTTACCGTCCTCAATCTGCTATCACCTAAAAAAAACTTTGTTGATATGAGTCAAATTAAAGTCCTTTCAAGGATTTATTATTTCGCGACAAGAAGCACGAGCGTGCCAAATATGGAGAAGAATTTAGATAATTTGCTCGTGGACAACAAATCCACCCCACCCCACCAAAACAAAAACAAAAAACCAACCAACACATACATTCAAAATGATAAAAGTTTTTACCATCACATACCCATCCTAAACTTTGAGGTATTTCATACGTCCCTAAACTTTTAACATTTTCTCATCCGATTCTCCTTCATGTAACTTGCAAATAATTGAAATGTATTTGAGAGATACAAAATACCAAATTTTTTATTTTATTATCAATCATTTATAAGCGACATACCCTCTCCCTTAAAATTTGAGTTTCTATCTCTGAAAAATTATATCTATTTGCAAGTTACATTTGTGCGTGTGGGTGTGAGCGGGTTTGCAAGTTGCATTTGTGTATGTGACCCGAAAACATAGTGATGACTTATTGACATAAAAGACACTATAACACTGGCGAGATGTTTTGAAGTACATTGTATTCTTTAAACTCTCTTCGTGTCATTTTTCTACAAAAGAGAATGGACTCCATAATTTTTTATCTTACAATGTCGAAGTAACATTAGAATAATAGTGTAGCTATCACTGTTCTATTCAGAATAATCTGATATTGTTCACAATGCCTTGCTATGATTTCTGCACATCAGTATCGAATTAAAACCATCACATCATTCCTTTTGCATCGCAATCTTAACGAGCATAGGACAACGTCACTCTTCTAAAAGCAAAAATCATTATGGTTCACTACTTTATGAATAGTTGAAACTTAAATAATGTTTTTTTTTTTTTTTGCCTTTTCTGATGGGAAAACTTAACTAATGTTTTGTCCTTAGTAATTGTACCTTATGATTGTTGCAAAAGGATTGCAATTCTTCCAATATTGTATTTCTATTCATCAAACACATAATTACGCAATTGAATTTAGATTGGATCATTGTGTTTAGTTACAAATGCAATTAAAATAATTTATTTCGATATTTAGTCATATCTTGTAAGATTTATACTTTAAAACTCACCATAAATTTGTAAGATTTTCTTCCGACAGAATCCCCGTAATAAAATCTAGGCTCATTATCCAATTAATCAGGCATGGATTCAAATATTTGGATACAGTTTTAAGATGCAAATCTATAAATTCATGAATCATGTTGGCCTAGGACGAATAAAGAAGTGTGAACCCTAGATATTATTTTCTTTTCGAGAGAGAGAGGAACAACATCGAAAGGAACTTTTGTGGACATCATCCGCTTTCAATACACCAACTATCGCGAAGAGGTGATCATGACTTCAAAAGAAGCGTGAAAATCAGTTGCTTTCATCAAATTTTCGTTTTTATTAAAGCATCACTCCTCGACTTTTACTGTTTTTATTCACTAACTAACACCAATGATACTGACAAAATTTGAGCTTAAATGACCGGCGGTAAAATTTTATAAGGTTGGTTTTTGGAAGATGCGTTTGGTGTCATTTCTCTGAACAAGTCTTTTGAGGGCGACCGTTTTCAAAAGGCAAGGTGAAGCTTGATCTCCTCGAAATTTGAACTCAGGGGGAAATCACTAAGAATGAAAACAGGCGTGAAACAAAATAAAATAACATATCCAATGTCTACGTCTACAACCCTCCTTACAAAGTTAAGGAACAATGACATACAACCACTCTAATTTCTTATTAGGTTTCCTAGAAATCAAGAAAATAAAAATGGTACATGGAAATCAATAAAATATTATTTTCATTCATTTTCATCAATAAAACTCACCACAACATCTAATAAAATATTATTTTCATCTCACAACTCATATCATATCATCTCCTAAAAAAACCAAGCACAAGAAATGGGTCACATCATCCAACTCATCTCATCTCCGTCACATCTCATCTTTAAAAATCACTCACATCATCCAATAATATGGTGACAACTCATTTTATCTCATTAACATTTCATTTCCACCTATTTCCTCCAAAAAAAAAAGCTAGAAAATCGATTTTCCTTAAGTGTGGATCACATCATCCAATAATATAATGACAACTCATCTCATCTCATATATTTTTTTATTTTTATGAATGAACCAAACACAAGAAAAGAACCTATTACAGGAAATAGGTTTGTTATAATTTATTTCCTTTTTTTAGTCAACCAAACAATCTCAAAACAAATTTTCTTAAAAAATCACCCACATCATCCAATAATAATGTGATAACTCATCTCTCATTCTTTGATTTTCTTCTTTTTTTTAGCCAACCAAACAATATCAAAACAATTTTTCTTAAAAATAGGTTTCCTATTCTTTGATTTCCCTCTTTCGTTAGGCAAACAAACAGCCCCTTAATATGAAGTAGAAGACATGCATTATTCAAAAAAATTCATGGGGAGTTCTTAGGTATGGTAAAATTGCACCTCCACTGTAGTACAAGTCACAAAATTAAAGTGGTTATGGTTTTATCTTCTTATGTAATTGAAGCTTTGCTTCGTCATAAACCAAATAGGTAAGTCAAGTGGCTACTTCCAATGAGGGATAGAACAAAGGTAAGCAACTCACTCCAAAAAAGGGAACAATAGTGGCACATATCCTTGCACATAATGATCACATACCACACTTTGGGGGGAAATAGCTAGTTTTTTTTAATCACTTTTCTTGTATACGAGCTCCATCTACATAAACACATGCAACTAACATGCCTTTTCTCCCAAAATGTCCATTAAACTTACTATCACATTCCTATGATTAAAAATAAAGCGCCCTCGCAATCATTTTCAATAAATATGAAGAAAGGACAAGGTTTAGAAAGGCAAGTCCCATAGATTGCCCTCTCCTATTGCCAATTGTCACTTGTTGCATCCATCTCCAAGCCCTAGTGTGGGGTACACGACTTGATAGAAAACCATAAGCCAACTAAAATGCCATCATAAGTGGAAGGAATACGTTTATAAAGAGACAACAACTTGTGGCGTGGTGAAAAAATTAATGCTAAAGACATCACTCCGTATAGAAGAAAAAAAAATCAAACAAGCATAAAAAGGGGTCCCTTTTATATGTTTTAAAATTAATCATCTTTAAAATTGAATTTAAACATGTATTAGACTCTTCTTACTCTATATGATTTTTCTATAGGGGTCCCTTTTATATGTTTTCTCCTCCTGTTGTGGTCCTTTTGAAACGGACGTAGACCTTACAAACAAAGAGAAATGGGCTGGGTTAGCTCAAGTTTTAATGTATCATAAAGCATGGGACCTCTAAAGTTAACCAAGGCTCTCTATTAATAATTGAGAATTATTGATAATAACAATAAACAATTTGGAAGATTAAGAAAAAGGGGGAAAAATAATTAAAAGGGCTCCTCTCCCTTTCCAACCCCAAATCCTATCACCATCGCATGTGGTGGGTTGGGTTCACCCCCACAACTGGACCCCCTACTCTTATTTATTCATCAAATTAGCCCAATACCAAAATACAAATCAGAAAGAGGACCCAATATAAATAAATAAAAATGATTAATATAATTCGAAACCCCAACCAAACACATAATTAGTCCCAACGACACCGTATACTATATAATACCAATTTTTGCATTGGAAGTTTCCCTCTCTTTCTTGTTGCTGTTGTTGGTCTTATTCTTGCTTGCTTGTAAATAATGTATTCCTCTTTTCTCTTTGTAAATAACGAATATTTCCAGGGGCATTTTGGTAATCTCACGAAGAGAAAGGAGCGCGGTGCGGTATACCCTTTCGTCTCCTCGAGTTATGCGACGCCGTCGCAGGCGCAGGCGGCGGCGGCGGCGTCGACGGCAGCGAATGTCGTCGATCCTCCGGCAACATCACGCCGGTGCCCCTTTTCTTCGCCAAGCACGAACGTTGCGTCCCCATTCTCTTTATGCCCACCAAACTAAAAAATAAAAGAGAGAAACAAAAAATATCAGGAAACGGACTGGAAAGTAAATGCAAATGGGAATGTGGGGTGGATTGGTACTTTGCAGCCGAAGGGAGCAGAAACGGAAGGGATCGAGGAGGGATCGCGCGCAGATCTCGCACGCGTGCGGCACGCGGCGCCTTTCCGGCGCTGGCACGTGGCTGCGGCCGCTCGTTGAGAACAGCACACGTTGCGCTGTTGATGACTAGGT